ACACATACCCATGACATCACACAAAGCTACCCTGGGCTATGGCTCAGAAGGGAATTTCTACTGGAACAAATGGAATACCTGAAGCAGACTGTAGACACATACCTAGACAGTTCAGTTCTGTGATAAAACATAGGATATATCAATCTATCATGTGTAAAGCCAAATATCCTTCTGTGTTAGCTGCTCTAAGAATGAGAAAAAAAACAAAAATAGCAAACAATTTAGATAAAAATCTAAGTTATCAGATATATGCTCCTGGAACAACTCCAAAAAATTGTTCCTATCTAATAAAATTTTGGATATCTGTATTAGCTGTCTATGAGAAAATAAACTGACAGTCTTCCCTTTGATTTCCATGAGGTTTTAATTTCATTAAAAGAAGTTGCAGGAATGAAAGTTTGTCAACTGAATGCTTTTTTGTACCACTCTGGTTTTCACCTGTTTTCTCTATTTCAGCAGCATTTTTCCTTAATAGCTCCATCAGTAATAACAGTGCCTCTATATTTCAATATGTAAATATGTATTTGAAGACTTTAAAATACAGTCTGATCTGCTAATTAAAAAGATGAAAATACATTACTGTTAAATTTAGAATTGGCACCTAATTTGAAAATTAATACCACATATATTATAACCAAAAAAGCTAACAAATTATGTCCAAAATAACAAGAACAACTGAAGCACAATCTCTTTCATTCACTGGTAAAACTTCTAAGTAAATAAATCAGGCCAACTATAAGGACTTTTCTTTTTCATTATTCTGTCATGCAAATTCATAGCCCAACGATCAATTTGGGCTAAAAGGAATCCAACTACACTTCTAGTAAAGACCTCAATATCTGTAAGGATTTATAGTAATAAAATCAACAGAATGAACATATATAAGCAATCTGGTAAATATTTTATTGGGGTTTTCCTCAAGAATATTTTTTAATTAGGAAACTAAACTTCCATCAGAAAAAGTTACAGCTATTTGTTGCACATCTAGAATTTCTGTAACAGTGAAACATTCTAGAACACAAGATTTCTAGCATTTTCATCACCGTATGTACTAAAATATTGCTAATTTATTCAGATGCTTTCATGCATAATTACTAGAAACACAAATTTGTTATTCTGCTAGTCTATCATCAGATAGGAAAAGCTATCTAGTGAATACTTTGAAAAATATAAGTAATTGCAAATATTAAATTATTAACTATACCATAAATATGCTATCTAAAGTACCGGTTTAATTTCCTTAATAGTTTACTTTTTCTATTTAGGCTAACATTGGGAATGCAAAGCTTGATTTCAAGCTTTGCCTACGCAACAGATGACTTCTGGCATAGCAAGGTTTTCCAAGGATGTGACAACACATAAATTGTAACACAGTTGAGAAAGTGAAAGTCCTTTTTAAGGACATACTTATACTGCAAACCTGTATTCTTCCTTCTAAAGGCTTGGTGGGGTTTTTTTCAATGTGGGAGAGAAGTGCTGTTGGGTTTATTGTGTTGGTACAAAGCATCTCTTTTCTGTTACTGCTGTATTGACTTGAGAAGCTAACAGACCACACTTACTTCTGTATCACCAAAGGACCCTCAGCTCCCACGTGGTTTGTCTCTTTTCTGAGTGAAGTATCTGATAAATGCTGCACTCTCCAAACGTTCTGCTTTCTATATCCCCTGTTTTTTTTTATTCGGCTTTTATTGTTTGATTTCAAGCCAAGGTCTTTTCCCCTTGTAAGCAGCATATTTGCAAAAAAAGCATTATTAAGTTATGAGCCCGATTCTGGTCATTATTAAATCAGCAGGCACTGAATTAAATTCAATCTTCTATTATAGTCCACAAGAAACTCACAGTGGAAACACCTGCACTGCAAATATTGTAAGATGGGATGCTACTTGTCAACAATATGTTTCTATTTATAGCAACAGGAAGAAATTAGAGGTGAAACTGTAAAAATGACCAGAATGTAACGGACTTTGTGACTTCCAGTGCTGACCCATTACGAAGAGATACCTCTGTTTCCTTCACAAGCTTCTCCTTTCCACGTTCTCTCATAGACTATAAATGTCATTTGGAAGCTTGAAACATTTTTCTTACCAAATGCTATTTTCCTTCATCATATGCTGAGAATGAATGGTTCTTCTTGAACATTCAGCTGCTAAAGAGAAAGAAAAAGTGCATATCAAATTTTCATTCTGTCCACTTTGACAAAGGCTCTTTTCCACATTAAGGCTTAAAGAGAAATAAAGATGCTAAACCTCAAAATATTGGTGCAGTCAGACTGATTTCTCTACCTGTGCAGATTCATGATACTCGTTTTAATGGATTTCTTGAGAAAATGAGGCAAAAAAGAAATTATGCAGATGCAGAAAGACTAGAGTATACCACAGGGAAAATGCTAGAAGAATAATGAGAGTTGGGATCCTCGTGTAGTGATATTTTGAATAATTTGCCATTCCTGTTTTCAGTGACATCTCAGTCAACAACAGAATGTGGGTCTGAACAGACTGCTCTGCTTGCTGCCATGTCACTGGGGACTGCTGCCAGTGCTTAAAAAGTAAATTACCCTGAATGAAAAGATTTAAAGCAGTTGTTGCAAAACTTCAAACCACTCTTTGAATGTCAGAATTACTGGTAATATTATGGCTTGCCAAATAAAAATTATCTAATAAAATAAAAAATGATCTTATATAAAGTTACCTTGGTTAAAGGAGCATTTGGGGATTTTCTTACCTGGCAACATCACTTATCCAAAGTGTTTTAAGAAAATATATTGAAACTGTATCAGTTCCTTGTGCCGTTTTTCTAAGAAAATTTTAAGATTGTTACAATTAAAACTCGCTTTAGCAAAGCAGCTAAACCTTGGAAAAGCGATCCTTTCTGCTACTTAGCTGTGCAGACTTTCATGAAGATTTACCCTCTATTTTAGTCTGGATGTTTTTCAGTGACAACTGTGTCATGCAGAACTTTGGAGATTTAAGTATACAAAACACATTTTAGAGACGTATAGAACTGCATGTGTTTTACTGAAGAATGAATGAATAAGCTGCTCTGGAAATAGTAGTCAATTAGAATCTCAGGTGTCAAAGCAAGAGTAGGATTATAAAAAATGCTTCAGAAGGATGTTAAAACTAATTATTTTTCAAGTGTTTAGTTTTTAACCATGTTCTGAAGTGGTGTGGGAGCTACTTTTATGTGTCTTTTGAGTACCACCATTAATTATTTTGTAAAAGAAAAGCAAAACAAATTTCAAGCACTGTTTATGGAAGGGAATTTAAGATCAAACAATGCATTGTACAAAACACCAAAGCATTCACTAAAACACTGTAGGGGAACATCACCCAACACAACACTGACACATGCTAAATGTTACATCCTAATAAATACACATGTAAGCAAACAACAAAAATTATTTTAAAGTAACTGTCACCAGATCTCTAATAAATTTCTATTACATTGACTAAGATACAAAAATAATAGTAATAATAATCTTTAGAATAATATGTGCAGTAACAGTAACAACAGTTACACTTGCCCACTATACAAATACTCGCTTCACTGATGAGAGACTGCAATTAAAGTCGCTGCCTGTCCTTACACAGCTTTACAAATGCACAGCCGTTACATTAACACATCATGGATAATTGCTTTTACTGTAGTTACTTTAAAGGATCTGTTAACAAAACTCAGGAAATTGCCCAAGAAATGGCTTGGTTTGCACGTATTTTATCTATTATATTAAAGGAGCATCTTAAGTAAGGATGATGCTCTACTCCTCTTGGCACTGTACAGGTAAGTGTAAGTTGATAATCTCCAGAATAACCAATACAACAAAGCACACTGCATAGCTACTGTAAATTCTAGCTTCTTACATAAACTATCTGATGTAGACTGAGTATGAACGGTTTGCATAGTGGCAGCAGTGATAGTTCTTCACACTAAGATTTTTACACTATCCTTAAAATATGGGCAGCTAATATTCAGATGGGCAGCCTGCTTTGTAAGAATCCACAAACTTAATTCATATGCTGTTAACCAGATATTGCTCGTATATTTAAATTACAGCAGGAGAAATATGCTATCACTTAATTCACATTAATTGCAAAATATACTGATTTACAAAACGATAATTGTACTTAATATCCATTCTTTTCTTTTATTGTCAAGGGTAAATGCACATAAGTACATTAAAAAAATTCACTGCTATTAAACAAATCCAATTTAAAGCAGTAGAAAATTAGTCAAAAGCAAGTTGTGCTACTTGCTTTGTCTGAAGTCACAAGATGAAAAATGCTTTTGAATAATACCGATGCCCAAAATAGATTATATTTCTTCTGATACTTTAAAGACTATTTTATATTTATGAGCTCTTACCAAACGTATACATCTATGAGAAAACTGCCACTTTTGAAAGCAAAAGGAATTAGCCAGCAAATAATAAAATTTGAGAGATGCTCAAGAGCTTCAAGTAAGTGACCATGGAAAAAGCTCCACAGATAAACTGGTATGTATCAAGTCACATCACACTTTTACAGCTGGTGTATTTTCTTTTCATTAAGAAACCACAAATAGATTAGAAAAAGTGCACTAATTATTGGCAGCCACTGCAATGTTCTTGCTAACCTTTCTATATGTGGTCAGAGTTGCATCTCAAATTAGGCATTCTGAAGGGATTTTTTGCATGCTTTATATATTTACAAGAAAATGCATTCCCAAGCAAGTAGTAAGCAACACACCATACTGAAGTGCACCTGTTAAATGCATTAAGATAAATGTAAAGTTGCATCAAGTTACTGGACGTAAATCGCTACAAAATTTCACAAGCACTGAGACCTTGAAAAGGAAACAGCAATCTAATAAATGCTGTAGTGATGCACAAGCCTAAAGCTTGCTGACTGACGATTGAGCTGCATTTAATTTAGTTCAGGACACATAAGTATGTTTTTTTATAATAAGCAATTCCTTTCAGGTAAAATTTTCTTTAGCTTGCCAACTCCACAATTTAATTATTATTTTTTTTAATTTGGTAAAGAAGACCTTATGAAAATTTTATTAGCTTGTACCTTCCCATAAAAGTGGACCCTAGCATGTCTTGACATTATGCAGGTGCTTTCAGAGAGCAGTCTGAGGGGTTTGTGCCAAGTGAAACTGCTCTTGTTTAATTCTCATTGTAATTCTCCTAGCATATATCACAAAATCGTCAAACATTTATGGCTCTAAGCTACACATTTGTATAAACTTTTATTCATATTACTACTGCAGGGCTATTACTTCAGAGAATATAGCGCTATTCACATTCTTAGATGTCCATACTTTTCTCATTGAACAGCAAACACGACAGTTCTTGTAAGACTGTTTATTGAATATAACAGTTCAGACTGAGTTTAGATGGAGTTTAGATGCAGTTTGTATAAAAAATTCTGTCAAGTCATGTAAACTGCAATCAAAAATAACTACAAAATAGTAAGAGACTTACTGAGATAATAAATTTCCTAACATGTAAAACTATACAGTATTTGTGCATGCTTGCTATTTTATTTCCTTCCGAAGAGCAGTTAAAAGGAGATAGTTTGGTTTTTAAAATCTCAAGAGAGTCTATGAAACATAATCATCGCATCTCAACTCAGATATACAAGATCAAAACTGGCACAGCGGAACATGTAACTTTTTTCCCAAAAAGTTGAGGCAGCTTTTGTTGAACGGCGTCTGCATCAGTAAACGTTTAATAAACTCTGGTGGCTTTGGATCATCAGAGAGAATCCTTTTTTTCCTTTTGACATCTTGAAAAAAAATTTCCCACAAGTGCAGACAGGTAAGGAGGAAAATAAGTAGCAGCTTGTTTCCTACACACAGCTGAACGCCATGCTCAGCAGTCCAGTGTCTCAAAACAAAAATTAACTTGACATCACAGGGAGGCATGTCCCTCTCAAGTTACAAGCATGTCTGAGACTTTTCAGGGGAGATGGAAGCAAGCACAAGGGTAAAGCATAAGTCTACTTTTCATGCATAGGTACTTTGCACTGCCCTGCATCCGAGGCATTTCGTCAGACATCTGAGTTGGAGCTGAGGTTTGTTAACCTGGGGTCTGCATTGATCTCGTATCTGTAGTGGTAGCCCTCCATATGATCCCTACAGGCATCTCTGATGTTGTGCATCCACTTTTTGATTCCTTTTCGGTTCAAGTACAAAACTAGGAGGAATATGGCCCCAATGAGAGCCAAGACTATCCCCAGGAAGACGTACGAAGTCTGTAGCTGGGAAGGCAGGTCTGTGGGCACGGAGCAGTTCAGGTCCGAGCCATTGATCTTCAGCAGGGCTTTGCCCAACATCTTGTCAGGGGAGGCACAGGTCAGGGCTTCTTTGCCCTCCACCTGGTCGCTCTCCTTGAGCCAGGCCACCAGGTCCTCGATGGCACAGTCACAGACCCAGGTGTTGTGGCCCAGGACGATGTGCCGGAGCGCGGGCAGGCTGCGGAACTGGGCCAGGGTGGTGTTCCACAGCACACTCAGGGAGTTGTCGCTGAGGTTGAGGCTCTGCAGCTGGCCCAGTCCCTGGAAAGAGACATTTCGCAGGCCCACCAGGGAGTTGTTGCTGAGGTCCAGCTGCCGCAGGGCGGGCAGGGCAGTGAACATGCCGGCGGGCAGCAGCAGCAGCCCGTTGTCGGCCAGCTCCAGGCGGCTGAGGTTGCGCAGGGCCCCGGACTGCAGCAGGGCGGCCAGGCTGAGCAGGACGCCGTGGTCGCGCAGGGCCCCGCGGAGGGCCAGCTCCTCCAGCGGGCTGCCGCCCTCCCCGAAGGCCTGCGGGCTGAAGGAGACCAGCGCGTTGCCGCTGAGGTCCAGCTGCCGCAGGGCGGGCAGGGCGAGGGAGCCGGCCTCCACGGTCCGCAGGTGGTTGCCGCTGAGGTTGAGGGACGCGAGGTCGGGCAGGCGCTGGGCAGTGAAGGCGCCGGCCGGCAGGTCGGTCAGGGGGTTGCCGGTGATAAAGAGGCTGCGCACGTAGGGCGGCAGGTCGGGGGGCACCGCCGTCAGGTTCCTGTTCACGCACTTCACCGTCTTGGCCGGCTCCGAGCACTCGCAGAGGGCCGGGCAGCCGCCGGGCTGCGCCGAGCCGCAGCCCAGCAGGACGGGCAGCAGCAGCCCCAGGCAGAGCGCGCCGCGCCCCGGCATCGCGCCCGGCCCGGCCCCGCACGCAACTTTTCCCTCCGGGCGCCTCCGGCTCCGGGCGGCGCTGCGAGGCGGGGTCCGGCTCCGGGCAGCCTTTTCTTCGGGGGCAGGCGTTTCCCCTCGGGGGCTGGCTCCGCTACGCTTCCTGCAGCGAGACCTGCGGCAGGGGAGGAAAGGGAGACGGCAGCGGCGGGGCGGCGCGGCTCCTCTTGCCCGCGCCCACCCGCCCTCCCCCGGCCCGCGTCTCGTCCCCCGCCCCCGACACGCGGCTCGCCCGGCTGGCCCCGGCCCCGCGGCGGAGCGGGAGAACACGCGGAGGAACAAGTTTTCGCCCACTTCCAGCTCACGCCGCCACCTTCCCACCCGGCCGTCGACTCCACCGGAGTAGCACGGAGGGGGAGAGGGGGAGGGTCTGACCCGCCACCGCCCACCGTGTCCCGCGGATCCCCACCTGCCGTCCCTGCCCCGGGGCTCTTTCCCCCCGCTCCGCGGCCGCTACAAACTCCCACCCCCAAAACCCACCGCGGAGCGCAGCGGAGCCGAGCCCGGTCCAGGACCCCGTCCCTCACCTTCCGCCCCGCGTACAGAACAAACTCCGCCGGAGCACGCCGCCGACTGCCCCCAGCCCTGCCGCTAACTCCGCGCCCACCCTCGCCGCGCGTGGCCCTGCCTCCGCTGCCAGGAGAAACCAAGCGCCGCCCGGCCAGGGGGAGCCGCCGCCCGCGCCCCGCCCGGCTCCCGCCCGCCGCCCCCGCGCTCCAGCTCGGCCGCCGCTGCCGGGCTGCCTCGCCCGGGAGCCCGCGGGAGAGTCCGCTCCCAGTGCCGCCCCCAGCCCAGGTGGTGCTGCCGGAGACTCACCTTGCCGCCGAGCGGGGCCGCGCCATGTGGAGCCGCGCCATGCGGCGCTTCAGCTCGGCTCGCTCGGCGCGGAGCGGGTCCCGCCCGCCTCTGGAAGGGAGAGCCCCGCGCTCCGCTCCCCGCCTCGCAGTGCTGTTCTTGTGCCTGCCCCGCCGCGGCTGCTGGGCGCCCTTCCCCGCGGTTCCCAGCATGGGCGCGCTCAGGCCGGCGGCAGGATGGGGAATCCCGGTGGGTTTCGTGCCGGCTGCTGGCGGCCACTGCCCCCGCCCGCCTACCCAGGGATCGCGTTTCGGGAGAGGAGGGAACAACAGCAGCCACAAAATACACCGAGAGAGCTCCAAAGCTAAAGCAAATTTTAAAAATCCCAATCCAAAATAACACCAAAACTGCACTTAAACCCACCGGGAACTTTAGAGGTCCTAAAAGAAATAATAATAGTGATTTGGACCTGCAAATAGACAGCTTAAGATTGAGACTTAAACTTTATTATGATGAGGAAAAGCCTGTAAGTACCTGTCTGCGTGTAAAATATTTACCAGCTTCGGTCGCTGTGGCTGTCCCAGAACCGTCCTGGCAGGGCTGAACAACCCGGGTGTAACAAAGTCTGGTTTGTAACCGAGTAACTCCCTTATGTTACCCCACAGAGGGGGTATTTGAGGAATTCGTGAATGGTGTGAGCTGCCATGTGGGCTGTACTTGGCCACTGGTGCCTAGAAAGTGATTGAGATCATTAAATAACACCTAATTAACACAAAAGATCCACCAGTGTATACAAATAACCAGTTTCAGCAATGTGAAACAGAACGTTTTGAGGCGATGACTCCTTTGGGCTTTCCTTTTCCTTCTGTTGACTGCCTACACAAGATTTCCTTCTCCCCGTATGTTAGAGTTACACTCTGGCTTTCCTGATAAACTATGTTCCTTATTTTGGTAGAGTCAGCAGGAATCTCAGAGCTGCCAAAAGCCATAGGGGAAATGAACAGATGAATCCAGTATGAAGTCTTGATAAAATCAGCCCCAGAATCTGGAGAATAATGAACTAAAACACCACTTTCTGTAGAATTGTTCTCCTCTCTCTAGCCTGACAGTGGTGTTGCGATGCAGCAAAACCTGGGTTTGGGGTGACAGGCAAGGGCTGTCCAGCTGATACGGCAGCATGCTCTTTACGTGAAGATTATGGAGAAAAGAAAATATGGAGTGGCTGAAGTAATAGTGATACAAATGAGATCTTGGATTCACAAGCAGTTCCAGGACTTTGGGAAGTTAATTGCTTTGATGTTGAGTTAGAAAAACAGTGGCACTACACTGCAAGAGATTTTAGTTGCTTGAGAGGTTGTTGACATGCCTCTTAGTATAGTGCTCAGAAAAATAGATAGGTAAAGATATCCTGCATTTTGTAAGAGAAAGACTTGTTCACTTAATCTATGAAAATTCTTTGAAAAAAGAAACACCCATGCCCCTGAATTGTTCAACTAGACAACCGTAAAAATCAGTGACCAGTAAGCAGTTGCCAAAAGGAGATGGCTTTTAAAAATAAGTAACTGAATATATTATTAAAAATCATAGAAAAAAAAAACTAAATCAGCATAACCACCTTTTATAAAATGTTTAGATACAATGTCATTTTGAATTAAACAATACAATTAAGAGCAATTACACTGATCTGCTCATTGTGCTGCAGTTCGGGCTCTTCATGACTGCCTAGATGGGACTGTGCCTCTTGTCCTTCACAGCAGGTTAGCTCTTTGGGCAGGGGATATGGTTTCTTTCTGTCTCTGTGGAGTGCTTGCTGACAGGTGCTTGAATATGCTGCAGTAATGCAAATAATAGGTAACAAGTATTTTCCTATTCTTTCCTATTATTCCAGTAGTAAATTGTACATGCTAAACCTGCTTAAGCTTGTGAGAGGAAGAAAACCACTTGTAATCTGATTTCTTTTCTTCCTGTTTAAATAAAACAACTTTTCTTAAAGGCATACTCTGAAAAAATGGTACTTTCTGGTGAATTCATCTATATTAAGTGGATTTCCTGGATGTGTTTGTAATGTATACTAGGAAAATTTAAAAAACCCAGCCTTGATGTGTTTTCAGGTCAGTTTTGGCTGTTACAATTGATTGATTTATGAATTTGCATTGCACAGCCCATAGAAACTCATCTCAGTTTTTTGCATAAAGGTTATGCAAAACTTCTGCCTGAGTTAAGGTATAGTTGAAGTATAGTTTAAATTATGTTGTCTTGGCTAAAGGACTCAAACTGGAAGTTAATTTACCATTAGGAAGCTGTTCCTGAGGCTGATATTTCCAGGGTTGACTAAGAAGCTAATGTTAAAGTGTGTGAGGGTTGAGACAATGCTTCAGTCTCTCTGCTGCTCCAGGCTGAGGCTGGATGATGTGCTGATCATCTGGAATCATGAAGGAAACCTCTGACCATCCTTCTCCAGAAGGTTAAGGCTTGCTTCCTGTGACAGTGATGAGATCTGCTTGCTTCTGAAAATCAGTACTCCAGTAATTCAGCTTCCACAAAGTGAAAATGGGACACCCACCTAAGGGGCTGCAGGGAGTCACAGGGACAACCTGTGACAACTCTATTACTTGACCATTTTGGCATTGCTATTCCCCATTTAAGGCTCTCGGCTTAGAAAATAATAAAGTATCATTTGTAGATGCTTATGTCACTCCACTGTCCTTAGGAAAATCTGAAAGATTATTTTAGATACTGAAATTTAAGGCTGTTAATTAAGTTCCTTGAGATGGATCCCATCCTAAATAATCTTCTCAATTTGGACATTGGACAGATACTAAACAATTATGGATACCCTTTTCGAGTGGCCTAACTGCAGCTGATGTCCAAGGAGTTGGAATAACTTGGGGTAGGACTCTGGTCATATTTTAAAATTTTTTTATTTTCCTTATCAACAGGGAGATTTTTGTTTCTTCTGTGAAATGTTTCTACGTTGCCTTAACATTGCATAAAGATACTCAGCACTCCATAGGAAGTGACCTTGGAAGGGTATTTATAATGTGCTAAAGATAATAAACCAAGTGAGCAATTCCACGGAGACCAGAATTCTTTTCTTCTACCAAAAATATCTTCCCACAAAAATGGAAGAACAAGCTGCAAGTTCTGTCTGCTTCCTCACATAGAGAGATCCAGCAGGTTCTCCAAGGGACACCTGTTTCCCTTGAGGCTTGGCTTCCTTTGAACAAACACCACCAGAGTCCTTAAGATTGTGTCATAAAACTACGTAGGCAACCAAATGTTGCCTAGAATTCTAGTTTGAATTTTATTCAGCATTTACATGTTCGCACCCATAAACATTCAGGCTCCAGTTTTCTTTTTAGGTGCACTTAAATTCATGTGATAGTTTTTAATTTAAATTATACAGAAGACAATATTCAAGGAATCTATGCTTGCATTTTCTTGTATGCTTTCCATTTTTTACGTTGAAAAAATGAAAGCTAATTTAATACAGAGAATGTTGATTTTTAATACTGTGAGAACATATTAAAGTTTACCAAAACTAACAGGAAAAAAAGACTTTAGCCAAAAGTAACCTTTTTGAGGGTCTTTAAATATATTAATTTGGTGTCTGTCACAGTGTACTGTTCTAACTTCTAGAGACTCCTGCATGCTTAGCTGGGAAAAGAAGGGCCCATAAGAGACAAAGTGCCCCCATCTGAAAAGAGCCCCCAACGCTGAAACTGCTGAAACTGAAGACAGACTCTTTAGCTGGTCCTTGGGTTTCCCGGTAGTGTTTTTTTTTTTTGTTAAAACCTGTTACTCAAATGAGAAGGAAGCAATGGTAACTTCCTCCAGCAAAACCAGCTAGCAGAGCTGGAGCCAGGAATGTACTAGAAAAAAAGATTTGGGAAGAGGACTTGCTGTATTCCAGATGCTGCCACTGTATGCTTATCCCTCCGCCTGTACTCCAGCTCAGCATGTTCTGACATGTAGAGTATCTGCAACACGAGCCAAGCTGAATAACTGCTTACAAGTTCATCACAATATAACTGAGAGTTTAACATGCTTAAACAGGTCATGTTAAATTTTCAATCATGCTTTTATTATTTCTTTGCTCACGAACAATACATGTCTTACTTTTAAGCTTTGATGGACTTCTATATGGATTTTAAAATGGTGATTTCTTTTTCATTATTCTAATTTTAAGTATATAAGTTTAGTTCCAAGACCTAAGCTATTTTCCAAGTAAATTCTACTTAGAATAAATCACCACAGCCAGTAAAACTCTTCCTTCTACAAAATAAGCCTTCTGGTTTTAGTCCTTCTGGAAGGACCAAAATGACCTGCTTTCTGATTACTCTTTATTACTCTGATTCACAGTACAGGATGGATAATATGAGTAGGCTTCAGCTGGAAAGCTGGTGTATTCCTGTCCTCTAGGAATGTCAATCTAGATGTCTGAAGGCAAACCTGGGAAATTGGCTGACTGGATTATTTGTTGGATTAGCATTGCTCTGGGCCATGGTGACCTGCCTTGCTACATGCAGTCACACCCAGCTGATGCTGAACTCAAAATCCTGTTTTTTTGGCCAACTGGCAATGTTGTCTTCGTTACAGTGTGTAAGGAAGGCACCATGTCACATCTGCTCATGCTTTCTAGGGGACTCTTAAAGGATTGCATAGGCTGGGGCAGTCCCTGAGCTGTAGTGGGGAAAGGAAGGGAGAACTGAAATATACTGCATTCTTCTTTGTCCCCGGAAAGCAGAAACCCAGATCTGCAGGGAATTTGGGCCAATGTGTTCCTCACACTTCTCTCGACGTCCCACTCATTCCTCACTCTGCAGGCAGTGCTGTGCCAAGGTTTTGCAGCCTCTTGTGGTGCCAAGGGTGTTTCCTGGTTTGCCCTTGCTTCCCTGACAAGTAAGGGTGGCTGACTCCAGCACTCAGGGCTGTGGAAGCTCTAGCCACAGAGGACTGCAAGTTGGGAGTATTTCCATGGAAAGCTTTTTCATGAAAACATTTTCATCTGTTAAAACTGGAAGTCTTGGTAGAGAAGAGTTGAATTTTGCAAATTCCCCATAAAAAAAAAAAAAAACAACAAAAAAAAGGTATATAAAAGGCTCAGCAGATTTGAGAACATATGGGATTTGATTCTCCCCTGTCTTACACATTGTGTCGTTGTTTACAATCTGACAAAGCAGACTTAAAATGCAACCTTTCTGCCTGGGTAGGATTCTCCTCCACAACTATGATTGAATACACAATATTAAAAAGTGTGGTGAATCAGTTCCCTGCTTCTTTTCCTTCATGATTGTTGATCATTTGTTACCTGCATTTGACCACTGTGACACATGTAGGTTTATACAGTCCTCTTCTACTAAA